TCATAAATTTGTCCATCAATTAGTTTGCATACTACTGTGATCATAATTGTGTATATCTTCTGTATGCATGTTAAATGTTTTGATGAGATAAAACATCAAGCACAAAGCAATTTTGTACGATACAATCGATTACATTGATGTTGTAATCAATTGAATTCACAAGATAGCTTTTGTTTTGAACTATGACAAAACAACAGGTTTTGAATGGACTACATTAAGTGTTAAATCAATTAAAACTTATGTCTTTGCAAACATCTTTTTTATATGTGCTATGATGAGTTTTGAAGAGAAAAGTTTTCAAAATTTTCTTTAAGTGTTTAGCTTAATCAATTACAGTGTGTATGTAATCAATTAAGTCTATTATGTTTTGAAAATTGTTTTAAAGAAAAATCATAATTGTTTTAACCGTCATATTTTTAAATATGTTGAATAGCATTTATTGCAAATCGATTACATTAATTGTGCATTCAATTAAATCTGTTTGAATTGTAATTCTATTACATCTGTCATTTATATAACTGATTACATTACTAACGTAATCGATTAATCTACGTCTGTCATGAGATAACTATATATATTGACACATTGTTCACTATACTGTAACAAGAATAACGAATTGATCATTTGAAAATTTCATATATGATATCTTTGATTAGTGAAAAGTGTTATAGGTGATTAAGAAGCTCCAAGAATCAAGATTCAAATATTTGGAAGAAACTTGAAGGATTCTTGAGAGAAGAACTGTGGACGTAATTGACTGATCATACTCTGCACTATTGAGGTATTTCTACATTGATCAGAAACGTGTTTTTGCAATCTCGGATTGTGGTTCCCAATTCGTGCGAGACATGAAGAAGAACAAGGGGTTCTTGACTTTGAGAGGTGGTCTCAAAGGGTTCTGCATGCAACAAGGACGTGTGGTTTTGTGTGTGCAAGTGTTTTCTTTCTATATTTGATTGTGAGTGTGAGACGTGTTTATATTGTGAGAGTGTATTCTCTGTAAAACCTTTTGTGTAAATCTCAAATCATTATAATGAAAGATCCTTCAATCTAAGGTTGATTGGAAGGGTCACTGAATGTAGGCATTGAGGTCGAACTAGGATAAAAAACCTTGTTTTTCTTCGTCTCTCCTTATCGACTTTTGATGAAAAGACAACTAAAGTGGCTTCTTAAGAATTGCATGCTCATCTTATGGTATCCATCTCATAAAGAAGCACTTGGTAAAACTATCCTTCATTCATGCCATCTTTGGTTAATATAATCATTTCTAGCTTATGATTAGCGACATCCAACAACAGAAGATGATGCTTAGACGGACTTCTAAGGCGATATTGGCCTTCATTAACACCATCCTTGTAACTCTTATGCGTTATGAGCTCTCGTTTCTCAATCTTTATAAAGTTTAGTTTTCGATCGATTAATTGTCCTAAATTTTGACTATAAACTATTCGTATGTACACTAGTGCAAAAACACTTTTCAAATCGTCTAATATGTTTCGGTTTAAAGAACAATGAAGTCTTCCAAAATACAGTGGAATTTTTAAATGTTTTGCATAACTATAGGCTTCGGTTATAAAGTAACCGAAGCTTATACTGGTATATGCTTTAGTTGACAGTTTTGGAAATATTTGAACAACTATATGCTTTAGTTCTTTAAATAATCGAGATCGAGACCTATTCGTTTACTAAGGTTAAAATTTCACAAATTTTACATCCCCACCAAAGCTTGTCCATTTGCACTAATGCATCACTCCTTCACTATAAGAGCCACTTTCCTCCCTTCCTCCTCACTAAACACAAACCACACTACCACTCCTCCACTTTCCTCCCTTCCCTTTCCTTCCTTGCCGCTACTGCAAACTGTGACGTTGCATCACCACCGCGCTAGCCTCCGTTTCCTTCCCATTTCAAAAGTGGCAAGAGGTTTGTTCTCTCATCTTGCCTTTTGTTTTTCTGTTTCATAATCTTTTCTTCCTAATGCAAGTACTTTTTAATGCTTTTTATTTAATGTGGGGGGGCAAAAGGTGGTGGCTCTGTTTGTTGGTGGGAGTGCAGTAGTTTTGTGGTGAAAAATGCTGAAAAGGTAAGGATGAGAAGAAATTAAAACAATAATTAAAAAACAAAAGGAATAAGCTTAAGTTTCATAAAGAAATGGAGCATAAAGTAAAGAATAAACTTCAATTATAAACTAAAACATAAAGTCCTAACTTTTTTACCTCGTATGTTTCACTTAAATAATCAAAATAGAATTGCAAAAATAACCAATGTCAAAACGCATGCACTAATGGTATCTTACCTTATTAACCTTTAGTCCTATATAACAACACTTGATCACTTAAATGATTTTTTTCTATTTATCGATATTCCAACATCTCTAATAAATAATAAAATTACACGCATTCCATTTGACTCAATAATAAATTCTCAAGAATTTTATATAGGTTCATTAATAATAAAATATTTTAAATTTACATATTAACATAATTATACTTAATAAATTGATGAATTCCGTGTACAAATTCAAAATAACATGTATAAAAAGAGGATTTAATATTAATAAAAAAAATTCTTATTCTATTTTATGATGATAATAATAATTATTATTTTAATTGAGTACTTTAAAAATTCAAGTTATAGCATTTACTATATAATTTATTTTAAAACACGGCTATTATAATGGAGAAGGGTGATTCCATGCAACAACTTTCTTATTTTTCTTAAAACCTTTGAGTAAGTAAGTTGTATGACAGGTTTCTTTTGTAAAAATATCTGTGACAGATATTTGAAATTAGTTTTATTTTTACTTTAATAAATAAAAAAATTGTATTTAGTAAAGTAAATAATTGAAAAAAGTCTTCTAAACCAACTAAACAATTTCTCTAGTCAAAAATAATTTTTACATACATTTTTTTAATATCACGGTTACAAAAGTTATATTTACTATAAATTATATTGTTTTAATGTTTTCTAAATCATTCTTACAAAAAGAATATTTTTTTTTTTTGGGAAAACTGTATTATTTTAATGTTATAAAAATATAAATACAGAAGCTAATAATAATAATAATTATTGCTTGTTATATTAAACAGTAAATAGAAATTTTTATAATTAGTAAAAATTTACAAAGAAATAGAGTTCATTAGTTGGTTGACTAAGCACTTAAACTTTAATCTATACATAGTAAGTTAGGATCACTTAATATTCTACTATGTTTTTCAATGGTAAAAAATATCAATGCAGTCCTTAACTGCATCCCGTTTTGGAATTATAATTAAACAGAAAAAATGTTGGAAAAAGAAAAGTTGAAAATCTTGCTTCAACGTGAAAGTGCTTATATAAAGGAGGAACAGAAGAAGAATGGGTTTATGAGGTTAAAGGGTTTTGTGGTTGTTGCACTCAAACATATTCATCAAACCAAACATGGCCGATAGGATATGCGATTTACCTGACGAAGTTCTATGTCACGTTCTCTCTTTCCTCCCAACCGCCGCCGCCATCGCCACCACCGTCCTCTCCAAGCGCTGGAACGCTCTCTGGCGCACGTGTCCCTCTCTCACCGTCGACGACTCCGACTACATCTCCAACCCAACCAGACAATCCTACTCCCGCTTCGTCCAGTGCGCACACGTGGCAATCCTCTTGCGCGATTGGCATCAGACGGTGCGTTCGTTCCGCCTCAGTTGTCGTTCTTCTCTCTGCAACTACACCAACGTGACCGTGTGGATAAACACGGTGGTGCAAGTAGGGGTTCAGCACCTTGACCTCTGCGTCGGAAACTTGTTCAACTTGCCCAGCGCCGTTCCCACATGCAAAACGCTCGTCGTTCTCAAGCTGGAAAAGTTCTACATTAAGAATATCTCCACCTTTGATTTTCCTCTGCTCAAAATCATGCATCTGAGAAACCTATATTTCTCAGAACACCGAGATTTCGCGCAGCTTGTACGTGCGAGTCCGAATCTCGAGGAATTGGAAGCCGTCGATTTGGTTATTCATTGCCGCAAGGTGAAAGGGAGTTTTGAGTATTTGCCCAAGTTAGTTAGGGCAACTGTTCCGAAAGTCGATGTTCCGTTGGGAGTTGTCAGTAATGTTCAGTTTCTGCGCCTGGATTGGGTAATGAACACGGTGATTAGTGATTTCTCTGTCGTTTGTTTTGCTTAGAAGGAAAATGGGATTTGTTGTTCATCAAATTAACCTTTTTTTTTTTTCCTACAGATGGACGATAAATACAAACACATGGATCCAAACCGCGGGGTTACTGTGTTCCGAAATTTGATTCAGCTTGAATTTGGCTATATGAATTCTATTCAAGACTGGGTCGAGGTTTTCCAAATACTCAAGTGTTGCCCCAGCCTTCAAATTTTTGTCATTGACAAGGTTTGATCAGTTAGCCCTTCAATGGTGATTTCTCTTTCAGTAATTATAGGTTTGTTCATTAAAATTAATTTAGGCTTAATTAGTTTTTTTTTTTTAAGTTACTTAAATTTAGATAATTTCAGTAGAATTTATTTATTTTTTTAATTGAACCCGTGATCTTAGTTTGTCTTAAGACACTGTCAAAAGATATGAATCCACGTATAAAATCTCATATAATGTTTGTTAAAACGGACGGAGTCTTTCAGGGATTTAAAAGTTAATTAATAAACTAATTTGTAAGAAATTTAATTTTTAATTTGTACTTAATTTAATCTGTTACAGGAAAATTAACATGAATGCACATGTTGCATTTTATCCTATGAAAGTGATTGTTGCAAACATTGAACAAATGATCCGAAGGGTTGTCATAGAATTTAGTTTTTCTTTTTTTTTTTGTGATTTCAGATGTATCTTGATCCCTTGCCTCAAGCTAATAGTGAAGGAGCAGATTGGATATATCCAGGATTTGTTCCTGTGGGCATTTCGCTAAACCTTAGAAGATGTTGTTTTAAGAATTACAAAGGTTGGAGAGGTGAATTAGGGTTTGTAGAATATATGATGGGGAATGCAGAACAATTGCAGACCATGTCAATCTGCTGTAACAGTTATGCCAAAGAAGACCAAAAGTTCAAAATGATTAAAGAATTATCTCTGTGCACAAGGCGTTCTGCGAGTTGTAGACTTATATTTGAATAGTTTTACACCTCAACTGCTAGAATTATCAAATTACCAAAACCTTTTCTTGCTGTTGAATGCTTGCAATTTGAGTTGGCAGTTTTTTCACTTCATCTTTCATTTCTAAGCTGGAAAATGTTAGACGTTTCCTTCATTTCTTGGACCATATTATGAAATATTCATTTTTGTGATTAATTGTAATTTGTAATTAATGTTCAATTAAGTACAAAATGAGCTTGGTTGGTGTATCAGTTTTAAGAATTCTACAAAACTAATCGAGATATAAAAAAAATTATGAATAAATTGAATCCAATCGTTCCTACTTTGGTCTATTAGTTTGGGTTTTAAATTGATTTAGGTTGAGTTAACTCATACATTAATTGGTTAGGTTATTTTATAAAATAATAATTATATTTTAAAAAAATAAAGATATTGTGCTGGCTAGTTATATCTATTATAATAAAAATCTTAACATAATTCAGATTCAAGGTAATATAATATATATACTCATCATGACGGACTAAAACATAATTTTCCTTCTTTTCAACTAGTTAGGAGGATTTTCCCGATATGCAACCAAATGAGCTCCGAATCATACACTACCTAAATATGCCTTTCTAAACCCTTACATGTTGATCAAAAGTTTATGAAGGATCTTGAAAAGTTCAAGAAGGATCTTGAATATGGAAGATTTTATTTTATATTGAATTTTCATTATGAAACACTACGTATTATTTACTTACAACTTTCAAGGTTGAATGAGTTTGAAACATGCATATAGGAATGTTTCATGTTAAAATAGAAATCATATGCATCTTGGCTTTGATTGAAAATTAAGTGTTTTTAGAAAATGTTCTAAAAAGAGTTATAAAACAAACTAATTGATTTTAACTTAACATAATTAATTATCATTATCGACATAATCAATTATTGTTAGTATCAACTCATTATTTTTCATTAGTTCGAGTACGTAAAAATGTTGCGTATATTATGTTTAGACAACATTTTTATACTCGGAATCTAATTTAACGTTTCCAAAAGAAAAAAAATGGTATAGTGTAATCAATTATATGATTATCATAGTTTCTTATTGTGTTTTTAATATAGTGAAAAACATTATGAGAAATTATTCCTAAATTTAATTGATTAAGTTTTCTAAAATATTGTATAAATTTTTTTCAATGTTCTATTTGAAAAATAGTAATTATTTTGTAATGTTATTCTTTATACTACAAAAAAAAAATTGATATTTAGTGGGACTTATTCTATTTACGAAACTTCCCACATATTAACATGATTTAGGAGGGTTTGATGGGTTGTCTAATACGATAATAATAATAATAATAGAGATTTCAATTTTTTTTTTTCAGAACTTTATGACATGCACACATTATAATACATTTTTACTAAGGTACGTGAGCGACGACAAAAAGTTTTCGCTTTCTCACTTATATTTCATTTTCAGTTTTCCCAATCACCTTTTTCTCACGTTTTCAGCTTTCATCTTCAAATTAGCTAGCTCCACGTAGTTTCGTTCACATTCTCCTTTGATGTTCATATTTCCAAACCCCAGACACAATTCAAGGTCCCCTTTCTCCTTTGATTGAAAAAGTTAGAAACGTTTTCCAACTGATTGAGCCCAAATACTTGTTTTCAAAAAGTGGAGTGATGGGTAGTTAAAGGTGAGATGGTGGGAGGCCGTTGAAGTGTTTGGAGTGTTCGCCCTTATTAAACTGTAATGCAAATTCTAGAAGAGTGTAAAAACTCCTAAGTTAAAAGAATTTAAATCTAATACAAATTTTAGAAGGGTTAAATATGTTTTTAGTCCCTGAACTATCAAGCGATTTTGGTTTTAGTCCCTGCTCAGAACTTTGATGGTTTTTAGTCCTTATTGTTTTGAAACTCTGAGTAATAGTCCTTAAAATTGGACGGTGTTAAGTTTCAGTGGAGGTGGCAAACGGCGTTGCCACGTGATCACTGATATGCTCTATTCTCTGTCTGCCACGTTGGATGTTTAAGTGTTTGGACTGAGATTAAGTTAGTTAACCACTTCGTAATCTTTTATAAATCAGATCTGAAGAAAGTGGGTTCTTCTGGTGGCTGTCCCTTAGCGATGGCCAAAACGTTGATATTCGTCTACATAGTTGTCGCGGCAGTGCTGCTCTTGTTCCTCTCTCATTCACCGAAGAAGTTCTCCGGCCACCGCCGCCGCCGCCTAAAGCTCTGCTCCAACTTCACCCTAGCACCGTCGCGCCACCACGCTGTGGCCTTCGACCCCTTGGTGGCGGAGCTGGAGCGGCACCGGGAGGACAAGGAGTGGGAGAAGGGAAAAGCAGAATTGCATTTAGCGTCTAATGATAGATCCAGATTCAACAACTAATAATGTTGAGTTGTTGAATCATTGTTATCGGTGTATCTGCAAAAGGGATCCATGACAATGAGACATATCACCTTTGGATGGAAAAAAACATGTTAGCGTCTAATGATAGCTTAATTACTGTGTTCTTCATTCTGCCCTAACTAAGCAATTAATTGTTACCTAAACTAAACATCATTACATTCTGGTGGTTTAAATATATGTATTTTTTACTTGTTACGTTGTAGAATTGGTTTTTGTGTTGACGATTTGGTAGAGAGAGAGAAGTAACGACGTTGAGTGAGGATAATAAATTTAAAAGTGACAGAAATACGTCACCTTCGTTTTCAATATGCAATTCTGCTTTTCCCTTCATCCCATTTTTCCAGTAATTGTTTTCAACTACGGAACAGAATAAATCCAATTGTATAAACACGTTTTGAAATTCTCTGAATAGGTTCTACCGAAATTCTGTTTTTCCCTTCTCCCACTCCTTGTCCTCCCGGTGCCGCTCCAGCTCCGCCACCAAGGGGTCGAAGGCCACGGCGTTGTGGCGCGACGGTGCTAGGGTGAAGTTGGAGCGGAGCTTGAGGCGGCGGCGGCGGTGGCCGGAGAGCTTCTTCGGTGAATGAGAGAGGAACAAGAGCAGCACTGCCGCGACAACTATGTAAACGAATATCAACGTTTTGGCCATCGCTAAGGGACAGCCACCAGAAGAACCCACTTTCTTCAGATCTGATTTATAAAAGATTACGAAGTGGTTAACTAACTTAATCTCAGTCCAAACACTTAAACATCCAACGTGGCAGACAGAGAATAGAGCATATCAGTGATCACGTGGCAACGCCGTTTGCCACCTCCACTGAAACTTAACACCGTCCAATTTTAAGGACTATTACTCAGAGTTTCAAAACAATAAGGACTAAAAACCATCAAAGTTCTGAGCAGGGACTAAAACCAAAATCGCTTGATAGTTCAGGGACTAAAAACATATTTAACCCTTTTTAGAATATTGTAGAGAAGCATAAGATAGAAAGAAAAAATCAAGAATATTTTACATAGGTAAAAGTTTAGGACATTCCACATAAGTTGTGACTAGCATGTTCTAGAATAATTTATATATGGGTCTATAAATACTCATGTATTCTACCATTTGATGCAAGCAAACATCAACAACAATAAGACAACTACAACACTTCTTCCAACTACTACTTCTATATTCTACTATCTCCATATTTTCTCTACATTTCACTATCTCTAAATTTTTTTCTACCCCATCAACTACTTCTTTTACAACCTCAAAACACTATGCAGTGGGTTCTTGGCTTCGATGTTGGAGTCGGTGGCTCTGATGAACACTATAACGGCGGGGGAGTTATAGTCCCTATTTTCTAGCCTTCTAGTGGTCTGTGAAATAACCTAGTAAGTTCACGAAACCCTGACATTTGCATAGGTTTATTGATCATCTGAAAGTTTATTGATAAATGTTTATGTATAAGCGAAAGGTGGTGTTTAAAGATCTATATAAGTTATTAGGCTTAATTACCTACTTAGTCCCCATGTTCGGAGGTAATTTGCTGTTTAGTACCCGGTTTTAAAAATGTAGGCATTTGATACCTATGTTTTGAAATTTGTATCAATTGAATCCTACCCACTTAACGCCGTTATAAATCTAACGTTTTTTCTGACTGTGTATGTGATTTGTGGACGAGCGGTTATGGACGAGCGTTCGCTTCGTTGGACGAGCGTCCTCTTCTGCCTGACTGGGCGTTCGCTTCGCTGGACGAGCGTCCTCTTCTGCCTGACTGGGCGTTCGCTTCGCTGGACGAGCGTCCTCTTCTGCCTCGCTGGACGATCGTCCTCGTCGCTCGTCCACAAACGCTCGTCCACAAATCACATACACAGTCAGAAAAACATTAGATTTATAACGGCGTTAAGTGGGTAGGATTCAATTGATACAAATTTCAAAACATAGGTATCAAATGCCTACATTTTTAAAACCGGGTACTAAACAGCAAATTACCTCCGAACATGGGGACTAAGTAGGTAATTAAGCCAAGTTATTAATATGAAAATTTTAACAATTTTAACGCAATGTTTTTACAGAAATTAATCTGGAAAAGTTATTAATAACATCCAATTCAAGAACATTTGTGTTTGATATTTATGGGGGAATAGTTTGATGGCCATGTATTCTGAGTGGGGATGTTATTATTGCCCATGTAGTCTTGATATTTGTTAGTTTTACGTAGTCTTGGTGTTCATGGTTAGTTTTAATAGGTCTTGATATTTGTTAGATATATTATTTTTATTTTATTTTTATCTTTTATCTTTAGTTATTTTATTATTATTCTTTATTTGTATTTTGAGCTTAGTCCATATTCTTTTATTATAAATAGATACATATTCAACACAAAGGAGATTAATCTTATACATAGTTTTACATTATATTCAGCATGATATCTAGAGTCTAGGGTTCTTTGGAAAAATGTTTGTTGCCCTTGCCCACTACAATCGTCGTCGTTAGAGCCAACGCTGGTGCCATTGTCACTATCAATGTCACTGTCATCGTTGTCAGAGCATCAGTTTCAACCAGCAACCACGGTTTTGCTCATCTCGGCCAAGCGACCACAATGCTGTCAAGATCGCTACCATCATAGTCCAGACACACTTTCACGATCATAGTTTGCTTCTGCCATACTTTCTAGCTGCTCTAGTTGCACACGTGTTGTTGTCTTCAGTGTCAACTACCTTCATTGGACTCATTGCAACCTCTTTCTCTAAATCTAGCATGGTTGTGTTGATTGGGCCTCTTTCAGGTTTTAGGTTTTTACTCTCTCTTGCTTGTTCATGGCTTATGACCTCTCTTCAGTCACTAGTACGTTTGACCCTGTCACTAGTGCATCTTACTTGTCCATATATATTAACTATGTCAATGTTCATTTATCTATTGATAAGTTAGATGACATTAATTATGCGACCTGGGCATCGCACGTTAAAATTTAGCTTAAGGGTCAAGGGTATGTTGATCATATTACTCAGAACGTTACAGTTATTGATTTCACTGCCCGTTGGTTGAAAATTTATGCTCAGTTATGCATTGTTCTCAAGGGTACACTTCACTCTTCTTTAAAACAATTTTTTCATTCCTACGAAACATGTTTTAAAATCTCGGAATATGCCAAATTATTATACACCAATAATATTCAACATCTTTAAGGTTTTTGTCATGATCTTTTCAATGTTGTGACTCTTCGGCATCAAGACTCTGTGGTTGATTATATTTGTAAAATTCATGTTCTGTTTCGTGAATTTAATGAATTATTTTCTCTCTCCAAAAAATAGAGCAATGATCAAAGTTCTTCATGTTATTAGTGTTGCACGACGTTGTTGATGAATATTCTCATATCCGTGATAAGATTTTGGGTTAACTTGTTATTTCCACTTTGACTTCTACTTGTTCTACTCTTTTTCGTATATCTAGTAAACACATCAATGATACACTTGTTTCCTCTACGTTGACATCTCAACATCATGATCGCAATCACTCTCGTAAGTCGAGAAAATGATGTCTCAAGTGTGATCATTGTGACAAGCTAGGCCACAAGATTGACAGGTGTTATGCATTACATGGTCTCCCTCTTAGATATGCTGCTATTGTTCAGACTACTTGATGAAGAAGAGAAATCCTCTACTAGACGTGAATATGCACAATTGAATGAAGGACACAACAAAATTAAGAATTGAAGCAAATGTTTAGTGGAAATGAAGATTGTGGTGTATAGAAGCAGTTTGCCTAAGAAAGATAAACCCTAAATAAGGGAAGAGAGCTAAACCAGGCTTTGGGAGACTCTTTGGCCAATGACTCTTGAAGAAGAGGGGATTGGAGTGATGTCAACATCAGAACTCGTTATCATTCAAAAGTGTCCATTACAAAGCAAGGAGCACTGAATTTATAGATTCATTCATCCTCTAACCATGCCTAGCTACCCTCATGATCATCAAGCATTGTTCACAGATCATAAGACACTAATACAAGCATGTTGTTGGGAAAGGTTGTCCGCTAGCGCTGAGTGAGGGGAAGAAGTCGTTGAGCAAAAGCATTTTGCTAGACTTGAATTGGCCTTTGGAACGTTGGCATTGGACAACCTCTAGTTACTGCTGAGTGTGAGCTCGTTGGGCGTGTAAACAAGCTCGATAGGCGAGTTTTGGTTACTCTATCTCTCTTATTTATAGCCTTCTTTCACCTTATTGAACCTTCCTTTTTGACATACTTCTAGTAAGGGGTCCATTGGCTGGACTCATTCCATCACTACTCCTCCATCCCAATCACCTATTGGAGATCCTCCTTCGTCTGATATTATAGACGACTCTATTATTTTCAATAAATTTCTAAAATGGTATAAGGATCAAGAACCTTCTAGTATGTTTAGTATGTTTATTATGTTGTTTCTTATGTTTAGTAAGAGGTTTATTATGTTATTTATTATGTTTAGTATGTTTAGTAAGAGGATCAATTATTGCTAGCAACATTTAGTTTGTTTATTATGTTGTTTAGGATGAAGTTATATCTGGTCTATTATAGATTTTAAGTAAGTGTGTATTAAGTTGTGATTATGTTTTAGTTTAATTACTTTTATGTTATTATGGTGATTTTTAGAATGAAATGTTTTAATGATATATATTTGAGTATTTTGGTAAAAGTTTGTTATGTCTTTTGTCACAATTAAAGTATTTGAAAGAATATTACAAATAAATATTGTTGACAAAAAAAGATAAACAGCTTAAATGGCAAGATACATTTTCATGTATAAGAGCTTATAATCACTATCAAATTATTGTTTTGAAGAGATTAAAAATAATGCAAACAAAATAAAGTAGGAAACTCACAACATAAATAATACAAACGAAGGTTTTAAATCCCTACAATAAAATAATTGAAAATAACGAGGTTTCAAACCTCCATCAAATAGTAATCACCCATAGGAGAGGTCAAATTATTTCACAAAAAATCCTCCACAAAA